GGACTATCCCTCCCCCACCCCCACCCCCCTTTCCAAAATCCTGCCCAGGTTCCCACAGACCCAAGGGAAGGGGGAGTTGCCAACTGTGCTGACAGCACGTAGGGTTGCCAGGTGTCCAGTTTTCGTCCTGTCCGTTATTTGGCTCCCCCATCCAGTAAAAAAAACACAGAAAATTCCCACACATGGCAGGGGTAGGGGAGTAAGAGGAGCGCAGGGCTATTTAAAGCCCTTTTTTTTGCTCAACAACTTTGGTCTCTCTCCTTTTTTTTTGCTCAACAGAATTTTTTCCCATTTTTGGGGTGGAGGGGCAGGGGGTGTTCGGTATTTTTTGTTAAACCATCTGACAACCCTAACAGCCAGGGTTCCTGGGTTAGGAACTCCTGGGTTCCTTCCCGGCTCCACCATGGGCCACTGTACAAGGTGCTCCCTTTCTGGTGCCGTGGCCAGCCGGGAGTGGGGTCAGGAGAGCCCCCTGGGAAACTCCCAGCCACGCAGGAGGGCGGACGGGCCATGGAGCCAGTCCCCGTCTAGCACCGGGGCTTGAGTGGCTTCAGGACCCCAGAGGGCTGGGGGGACAGGCAGGAGCTCTTCCTAAAGCCGGCAGCCCTGCACCCTGAATGCCCGGGGCGAAGTCTTTGTGATCAGTCCACGCCCCGAGCACCGTGGTTTCCAGGCAGGTTCCAGCCCGTCCACCCAGCCCAGCTGCTCTTGTGTCAGCCAAGCCCACGTTCACGGCATAATAAACCGCCCGCTATTTCCCCATTGCCTTGTGACAGCCATGGAAACCGGGCGGCGCTTCCTAGCAGAGGCTGCCCTGACATTAGCTCATTACAGATTAATCGTTAATTCCTAAGGCTCTAGGGCAGCCCCGGAGGGTAGGCATCCCGGCTGCTCTCTGACCGGCAGCTCTGGGCCTGCGAGCGCCCAGGATCCGGACACGCACCCATGGCTCCTGGGGTGCCTGAAACCCCGGCTGAGTACCCACAAATCCAGCTCAGCCCCTGAGGCGGTGGCCCAAGGCGCTGTCCCTGGTTTCAAATCTTGGGATGGCACCTGGCAGTGGATTCTGAGAGAGACACGGGGGGCGGGGGGGCCTCTCGGGACAGGCCAATTCCGCCGTCCTGACTTGGCTCCCTTCTTGGAGCCTGCAGATCCCAGACCACGTTTCCCCCTCGGGCCTGTTTCCAGGACCTGCCGGGCTCTGCTGGTGCGAGGAATCCAGCCCCAGAGGGGCGAGTGAGCAGTGGGACTGGGAAGCTGCGGAGGGGTGTGGGGGGGTCCCGGTCCCTGCCTGCTTCAGGCTGGGCTAGCTGGGTCCCCGAGGAAGAACTTCCCACCACGAGGGGCAGCGGGGGAAGGGACAGGAGCCCAGCGTGGGAGCTGGAGCATCACCCTGCTCAGGGCCAGGGCGGGACTAGACAGGCTCTGGGGCATGTCTGTCTCCATCACCGTGGTGCTGAGACAAGTGCCCTGGAGGGAGGACCTGCCCTGTCTCTGGGCCTGGCATCTGGACAAACTGCCTCCTCCAGGTGGGCTCCTCTTGGCCTCGCTGTCTCCAGGGCACCCCCTTCCCCCCGAGCCTTTGGGCTGTCGCAGCCTGGGACCCCAGCAGCTGGCAGGGATGATGCTCTGCACAAAGCGCCACCTGCAGCCAGGCAGGAGACTCCGCTGCACCAGCACCGGGTGGGTGCAGGCTCAGACAGTGCTGGGCTAGCACTCCGGGCTCCGGGCTGCCGGGAAAAGGGATGCTACAGGGACAAAGCATCTCCCAGCCCTTCTCCCTCCCCCTCCCCCAGGACTGAGCCAGAACCTGCCCTCCCCACCTCTGCTTTCCTGTGGAGACAGACCGCGCGGTTCCGGGATCCTGCTGCCGGCACCGTCCCGGCTCCCCGGCCAGCCAGGTCCGGGGCTCGTGAGTCAGCACTCTGCGAGCTGTCCTCGTTCCTTGGCCCGGCTCCTGCAGACAGAGTCACGCAGCTGCGAAGGGGACCCGGCTCTGACACATCGAGAGCGGCTCACATTGAGCCCCAAGCCCCCCTAGCACAGCGGGCGCAACCCACGGAGGGGTGTCAGGTGCCAAACAGGGCCCCTCTGCATCTCCCCTCCAGAGAGCAGCGTCCTCCCCAAGCCCAGCCTGGCACAAGCAGGTCTGCAAGGGGCATATGTGAACCCACCAAAGATGCCCCCATGCTCCCCAGCCGACCCAGACCCTGCCCCCCAGACAACCCAGGCACAAGACCCCGGCCTCGGGGATTGAACCTGGGTCTCCCATCCTGTCTCCGTACCACGTTCCACGGCCAGCTCTGCTCTCTGCTGCCAGGTGACTGCCTGGCCCCTGCACGATCCCAGCCTGCAAGCAGCCCTCACATGGACATTGTCTTTGCCTGCCCGTGTGACTCGCCGGCTCGGAGCCAACCACGCCCAGAACGAACACACTTCAGAGCGCCCGGGCAGGAGGGGGAACGCCAGCAGAGCAGAGGTGTAGCGGGGGGGGTCCCTTCACTGGGATGCCTGCAGGGAGATGGTTTGGACAGAGATAATGGCAGTCGGCAGGGGACTCTGGAGTTCTACCCATGGGTGCGAGAGGGGAGTGGGATCCAATGGTTAGCGCGTGGGGGGAAGGAGGTGGGAACCCCGACTCTTGGGTTCTACTCCCAGCCAACACTGACTCACAGTAGGACCCTGGCCAATCCCAGCCCACTGACCCCCAAATGGAGCGACGGAGCAGCCCAGGACCCCACCGAAGCATCCAGCAGCTGGGGATGTCACAGGGAGGCCACAGCTCCTAGCTGCCGTTTCAGAATGTGGCGGCCGAACTATTTATTCCCCGCAGCTGCTGCTCGTGCGTGAGCCTCGCCCTGGGAGTGGGTGTGGGGGCAGCCAGCTACATGGGCCAGGGCCAGGAGGGGTCTGGGCAGGGTTCACGGGGAGCCGCCAGCTCTGGGAGGGAGGTGGGGAGAAGGTAGACTGGAAGGGGGCAGGCAGCGGGAGGCCCAGGGAGGCGGGCAGTGGGCACCGCTTGGAGCCAGGACGGGAGCAGGGCGTGGTGAGGAGACCGCAGGCCCCGGCTCGCCCGGCCCCCATGCCAGACGCTGTCTCACTCCTGGTGCCGGCCCCGGTGGCTGGAGCTGCAAAGGGCAGGTCCTGGCAGGCTGCAGCCGGCTCCACGCGCCCAGGAGAAACGTCTTCTCCCAGGGGCCCAGCGCAGAGCTGATGGGGCCAGGCCGGCTGCAGCTCGGTGCCTCTCCCGGATCCCGGAGGCAGGGCTTAGAGAGCCACCCAGGTGCCAGGCGTTTGAAACCAGGGCACGGGAATGGGAGCTGCTAGAGAAGCCCATCCAGAGCCGTGGCACAGATGCCAGCGCACCCAGCACCTGGGGCAGCCTCAGGCCCAGAGCAAGCCACACGCTCAGCGCCCGGCATCTCCCCTGCCCCGTGGGGACCATCTGAGCGCAGAGGGGCCGAGGCCTCGATGGATTCACGCTGCGCCCTGCCCCAGGAGATCTGGCACCGGGGCAGAGAGGGGAGCAATAGACCCGAGGGTCCCTGATGGGCAGGAGGGCGCACCCAGCACCTGGGGCAGCCTCAGGCCCAGAGCAAGCCACACGCTCAGCGCCCGGCATCTCCCCTGCCCCGTGGGGACCATCTGAGCGCAGAGGGGCCGAGGCCTCGATGGATTCACGCTGCGCCCTGCCCCAGGAGATCTGGCACCGGGGCAGAGAGGGGAGCAATAGACCCGAGGGTCCCTGATGGGCAGGAGGAAGGGGGAGGCACCAGGCCAAAGGGGAGGGGGACCCAGCTGGAGACATACTTCCTGCAGTGGCTCATGGGGCAGAGCAGCAGGCAAAGCCGAAGCAGCCGGAGCAGGGGCATTTGCCAGGCATGGCAGGGGTGTGCCAAGCCCGCAATGGGCAGGGAAGCCTCGGAGCTGCATCCCCGCTGCATGTCTGTGCAGCACCACAGCAAAACTAATAACAGTTACCAGTAACCACAGCAGGGCTGTGCTGGGGGGAAGGGAAGCCCAGACGTGGCCCCCAAGCTTTTCTCAGCACTAGTTTGTCGCTGTATCTCTAAGTCCCCCAATGGACATCACATCCCCTCCCTCCTGCTCCTCTGACCCACCTAGCTGAGGGTCAGGCCCACACTTCCTCTCTGCCCCCCATGCTGCCCCTCTCCGTGGCACTTGAAACCAGATGCCTGTGCAGAGCTAAATAGAACACAACCCGACTCCATGCCTAGAGCACCAGGGGAAGCCAAGTGCGGGATAAATCAGGAATGTCTCTTGCAAAAAAAAACCAACTACTACTAATACCACTACTACTTCCTCTTCAAAATGTTTCAACTCCATTTTCTGGGCTTTGCCCCCCAAAACACGTGGAAACAAAACAAAACTTTTCATCTCACATGGCACTTTTTAAGTTGGCTCCGATTTCAGATTCCTAGGGCAGGAGAAGAACTCCTTCCTCACCTATTTTGACCTCTTCCCAAGAGGAAAAAAAGAGAGAGAAAGGGGGAAACCCCCAACTATCTTGAAAATCAGGGACAGAACCTTTGAGAGACTTAATAAAAACTTCCTGTTTCATTTCTGATTTTGCCCCCAAATCGAACACATTTTGCAAAAACATTTTGATTTGCAACAAAATTATTTTTCATCAAGAACAAAAAAGGGGTAGACCTAAATCTCTCCCCCAGCTCTTCTAACGGCCTCGAGACAGGGGACTGTCAGCCTCTTTCTTCCTGGTTCCTCTTTGTCCTCTGCTCCGGAGTCTAACTGTATCCGGACGCAAGAGAGGCACGTAGGACACAGCAGGGACTGATCACAGCCAAGTGTGCTAAGATGCAATTGACAAGGGGACGGAATTATCTCAGCCCACTCAACTGGGTGGGCATGTCAGGTTTTCATAGATCCATAGGCCTTAAGGCCAGGAGGGGCCATTAACTCATCTAATCTGACCCGCACATCACAGGCCTGCAAACTCCTCCCAGTTCCCTATGCACTGAAGTTGAACCCAGTAACTGGGGTCTGGTTGATGCCCCCCTTCCAGAAAGGCACCCCACTGGATCTCCAGACCCCAGAAGAGGGGGCGCCCACCACTGGCCCTGGGGATCTTGTTCCCCGAGGTCAGTCACCCGGCCTGTTCAGAACGTGAGCCTGTGGGCCCTGGCTCTCAGCCAGTCCAGCTGGCCTCTAAAAGCATGAGCCTGGGTTCAAATTTGTAGGACTTCACCGTCTAGGTGCCCGTTCTTGTTCCGCTTCCCCCTGGGTGTCTGATGTTTTCTCCCCAGGCAGGTAGCCCCACCGAGTCACCTGTCTGGTCGGTTCTGAGAAACTAAGCAGCCGGGTGCCTGGCATTTCCTTCAGTCCTTGGGACTCCTGGCTCCACCCGCTCCCCTTCATTGGCAACCCAGGCACTGAGCGAGGGTCCAAGATCTCTCTCACGGCGCTGTCGTCCCCACTGCCCAGCTCACGCCAGCCCCTTTGGCTGCAGCTTCCCCCGTTGGGTCTCTTGTCCAGAGGGCAGAGGGGCTGCCCTTCCCCCCACGCACCCCACTCTGCTCCCTCCATGCCGGGCCAGCCAGGAGCCCCCCATCAGCAGCCTCCAATCTCAGCCCCCCAGCGCTGGTCAGCAGGCACACTTGTGCGACACGTCCCAAAGCACTTGCTCCAGGGCATTACATCGCACTTGCCTGCCTTTGATGGACAGGGAAAGGGAGACCTGAAAGGCCTCTCCAAGGTCACCAGTGCGAGAGTGAGCGCAGAATTGCGGAGCAAGGGTCTAACACACAACTCTGTGCCTTAGTCACTAGGTGGCATTAGATTAGAACCTGGGAGTTCTTACATCCAACCCCCTGCCCCCTCCACTAGGCCATGCTGCTGGCCTCCCGCCTCTCCCCCAGGGCTTGGAGACAGACGGGAGGCTGGAGCCAGCCTGCGCAGAAGGGGCTGTAACGCTTACAGCTCGTTCATGACACTGCCCCTGCGCAGCCCCTCTCAGATCCACACTCGGAACCCACAAGAAACACCCCAAGAGCAGAGATGAAACCGCCATTCACCTGCAGCCCAGCTTCCAGGAAGGGCAAAGCAAAAGCGGAGCTCGCGGATTCCAGCCCAGCCTGGCACCTGCTTCCTGAACTTTGGCCCCTTTCCTCCAAGATAGCAGGAGGCTGCTCTGGGCCTTTTGTGCCCACGACGGGGCAGAAAAGCAAACTCAGCTGTTGGTTCCATCTTGCGGGCAGAGCCCCGGCAGACAGTGGCAGGGGGGGGGGGGGGCGGGGCCCCCCCCCCCCAGCAGCAGCCGGACTTGGATCCCCTTTGCACTGGGGCAAAACAGCCCCCTTGGTGCAGAGCTGCCCCGGCCCCCGCCTGTGGGTACATCTGGGCAAGGGGGCATCAAGGCCGGGTTCAGGGTAGCCTGCACTCCAGGCCCAGTTATCCAGGGACCTGCTGTTTAGGTGCCTACGGGCAGGTCGCACACGGCCGCCCCCAGCG